ACATTAACTGCCATTTCTTCAATTCGTCGCTTTACTGTGCTATCGCTTAGGGGCAACGTTTTTTAAATTTCAGGTATATCCTGATGCATTACTGCCGAGATAAATTCTTTTATAGAGGGTATTATTACAGTTTCGAGCTATTCTGAGACGAGGCTCTTTTGTTTGCGGTCGCACTATAGCACCATTTAATTTCACTTACGTAACGTGAACTAAACTCATGCGCAGGCGATACAAATAGTATATTTTCAGAAATTTAAATTGTCACAGGGAATTTTATGAAAACCTAATGAAAATGTTTTTAAATAATGCTATGAATTTTTTTTAAAAAGTCAATTAAATTAAAAAAAAGGAAAGTGCTTCAGTATCGGACAAAACCCCTACCGCCCACCCCTAAAAGCTACCTCACAACCAGGCACCATATAAATACAACCTGAAGAACAGACCAGTGTGCACCCCTTCTGGAGAGAGAGAAATTGAATAGAATAGAGCTGGAAGGGACCTTGGAGGTCTTCTAGTCCAACCCCCTGCCCAAGCAGGAGAACCAGTGGTGGGATTCTATGTCTCTCCAGTCTACAACACAGTCCTTTCAGCAGTTCCAAAGAGACTCCACACCCATTTGCACCACTCAGGTGACCCTGAGGACACAGATAAATCTCCAAGTGGCCTCAACGACTCTCTAAAAAGGATGCAAATGACCAGTTTTTCTGCAAGGAGTATAAATCCTTCCATTTCCCCACCATCCAGTCAGAGCCGAAGAAGCTTCTTGGATGAGAAGTGAAACATCTTCAAAGGAAAAATAAGAAAGTCCACTTGCCTCTTGAAAAAGCACCTTTGGGACAGTGATGACCTGGAGGACGGAGAATCTCCTTCGACAACAGATAGCAGAGACAAGAAGTGCCCACTTGATCTACGCTTCCAAACTGACCCCTCTTCATTTTTCCAATGGAAAAACATTTCAGTGCTCTATTTCAAAATAAAAGCAGCAGCATGGTAACCTATCAAAATTCTCTACGGTGTTCCTGGAAGAGAAATTTCTACACTTTTCCAAGGACAGGATTTCCCCTTAGCTGTGTGTCAAGAATGAAACTTTGGCAGCTACAGGCCTCTTCGTTCCAACTTGCCATTAGAGTAAGGGGGAGGGAGGAGTTGTTGCTTTAGGATTGTTTAAGATGAAGTTGAAGTCCACAAATCATGAAGGGGCCATAGTTCCC